CTCCAGTGAATTTGCAGTAAGTGTTGGGTAAGGAGGCCAACTTGACATTTTTTGGAGTTTGAAACTGCAAAGTGGTATCCCTGCAGAACATTCTACCATGAACCTTTCTGCAGCCAGGTTTTAGGCAAACAGCAAGCTGTGGAAATGCCAGGGTGAGAAATCCGTTTGCAGGGAAATTCGGCAACTGGAAAAGAGAGTGGAGATGCTCTCTCCCTTGCTTGTAAATCACAACAGTTGCTTTTCATTAGCGGCCATTCATTCTTTCATTAGCTACGTTCTGGGTGCCAGGGATCTCCTTGCCCTGGAAATAAAAGGGCCTGGACTTGAGATGGAGAAGACTATCATGCGCTGGGATGTATCCAAGTGTGCCCGGGCTCAGCTCTGTCCCACCTTATGATTCTAAGAGCAAAAGACAAGGGAGGCACCTCTGCCCTGGGCAGCCACGTTTTTGGGTCTGGACGAAGAGAAAGGAGCCTAAGGGAAGTTCCTTTTCATGGCGTGGCTGCTATACGTTGAACTTGTATCCGTTCTAGCAATAAGTTATTTTAAAATTATTACTTTTTTTGTGAATACAAGTGAAGCATGGTTTGGAAAGACATAGAAACTTCTAGAAAATCTGTTTCCAGAAAATATGGGAAATAGCTATAAGATGCTTGAAAATTTGGGGAAAAAGGAAACGTTATCACAGCCGGGTCTTTGTAAAGATGTATCAGACAAAATGATTTTGCTCAAAAAGCATAGAACTTGGCCCAAGCCAGTCCTCTTCTGCCTTTACCGTGCAGGAAATAAAACATAAGGTCCAAATGATCAAACAATCCAGGTGTGGAGTTGGGGGGCCCAGTCTCTGACCCATGCCCAGACCCAGGCCCCATTCCTATACCTATAAAATGAGTTTCCTTGTTACCTCCAGGGACTCTGAGAATCCTATGATCCATTTACCCTTTTCCATTTTCTTCCAAACCACCCAGCATCACAAGATGATATTATTTCACCCCCCACCCGGGGCGGGCTCAGAGGCCCTGGCCCTCTGTCAGCTGTATGCTAAGCAGCTCTGTGAGGCTCAGGGCCAGGAGCTGAACTGCCTGATTTTGGCAACTGGATAAAGCAAGTGGCTTTGGAGCACTGGGATCTGGAATAATGCGGGTACATCAGTGGACCCATTTTGGGCCAGCTCCCGTGACTCCGTGTGCGTGCAGTGCTCAGGGAGACGTCCACCACACGGGCACGCCTGCCTCCTCCTTGGGTGTGGGCTCCCCCTGCGTGCCCCCTCTGGGACAGCGGTCTCCTCACAGCTGCCCTATACCCAACTGAGACACAACACCCTCTTTTCAGTCAAACAAGCAACCACCCAGGCTTGCCAAAATGCAAGCAGACTCTGAAAAGGAGCAGTTTTATTTCAAGGGTTTAATGGGACCAAGGAGATGAAATAAAAGTTTCAGCTATTTAAAAAAAAGGGAATAGACCGTCTTCTTGCAAATAAACAAACTATCCTTTGAACAAGAAAAGAGTCTTCTAACTGGGTCAGGCTGGGGTCAGGTCATGGAGGGGTCACACGTCCCGTGGGCCCCCGTCTCTATCCCTTGCTCCCCTGATTTCTCCCTCTGCTGCTTTGGGGAGCCCAGTGCTCTCCGGCTGGGGCCCTGCCAAGGAATGACATGAGCTCATCGGACACAGGCTCTTCCCAGGACACAGCACTTCCATTTGGAAAGGAGGCTCCTGCAAATCTCTAAGGGTGGAATTTCAGGCGGGGAAATTTCCCCACAATCTCTCACATCACACCATAAAGGCAGCATAAGATTTTCTTCGACTACCAACTTTCAACACTTTATGGGTTTTGTTTTCTTTTGTTTTTTAAATCTGAACCATTATTTTTTTTCTCTCCTGTTTACAACCCCTCTGGCAAATGATTACAGCTTACTGTTTGCGTGACTATGTGCAGACTATGTTATGTGCCATGATTCACAGGATGGCAAAAATCTGACAGGCTAGAAAACCATACAGAACTGCTCTCAGTTTCCATATTAATATGTGTTTCTTATTTAGTAACTAGAATGCTATTTAGGCCTCCTGTATTTCAGCCCCTCTTCTGCGTGCCAGGGACAGAGATGGAACGCTGATCCTATCTTGTCTTCAAAGAGCTTACAGGCTGTTGGAGGGCAGGAAAGAAGTTAAGACATTATATCACCCAGAGAAATGTTATCACCAGCACAGAACTTTCTGAGAGCACAGAGGAAGAACATCAAGAACCTCCTCTTGAACCTCCCTGTACAGCTGTGTAGCCTGTGCACTGCATACCTGCGGGGTCACCCTCCCACAAACTCCATTTTCAATAGAGCCTTCTGGAAACTTTGGGTGTGAGGAGCCCAGGAGACTTGCAGGGATTGGCCAGATACAGGTCTAGAGCAGGAAGGAGGCCCTGACTCCTAGAAAGGTGAGAGATACCTGCTGAGGGAGTCTGCAGGCTAATGGTATGACACATCCCTGCTGGGAGAAGGGCTCAGCTTTCCCATGGAGAGTCCAGAGAAAGAGCACTGAGGAAGGTATGTTTGACTTGGGGTCATTCGTGTTACTTCCCAGGTCACTTAGAGAAACTGCTGTCACTCGTGGGGCTTTACATGACCTGTTCTCTCCAAGCCTTACCTCTCCGAATTCACCTCCTGCCACTTTCTTGTCCCCACCCCCCACCAGCCACAAGGTTCTCCCTGCTGATCTCTGAATGAACCACAGGTGTGCCGACTGCAGGCCTCTGTCCGGATGCGCCTCCAGGTGGCGCTGTTCCCCTCGCTGACCACCTGACCCGACTTCATCTTTTACTTCTACAGGGGCCTCAGATGCCACACCCCCACCGCCTGCTTCACACCCTCACTGACAACCCAGCCAGTCCCCTGCAGCTCCCTCTGGATCCCCAAGGCTGCCCCTCCACTTCCGTGTTTTTCCAAAATCACTTTTCACCTTCCGAAGGACTATGACTTCAGTTATTACCTACATTAATGTTTGAAGAGCATTTCCAGATCTTTGGTTTCTCAGCATCTTCTGCTATAACTTGGTTCTAACTTTCTTAGGATCGGGATTGCGTCAGAAACCGCAACATTCTTTGATTAAATGGAATACGTCCTATCGTTTTCAAAGAACACATAAATGGTAATCAAGAGCCAATGCAAACTACTAAATAATCCAAGTAGCCATTATTCCTCTAGTGAGACAGGGAAATCTCCTTTGCTTTTTTTGTTTTTTCTGCTTCTCGTCTTGCTAGGACCTGCCCCCTGCCCTGCAGATGCCATACCTTAATGTCCCCCTTGTAAGGGACAAAGAGATAACGATATCTCTGGAGTTTTTCTGCACAGCAGATGATATCTAAGGCATGACTGGGCAGAGGTATCCTATGCCTGTTCCAGACCACGGGCACTAGATATCTCCACACTATGACCCCTGGCTTCAGGGAATGTGCAACTAATGAGGGACGTGTGGACCCTGTCTTGTTCTGACCAGATTCTGGATGTTTCAGAGGACATGCACCAGACTGTAATCACCAATAAAACCACAGATCGCAGGCAAAGGCAAGACTCCCTCCCTTCCTTTCCAAATCTCCCAGACACTGCATCTGCATCTCTTTCTCTATATATCTTCAAAAACTCTGCTTCTGCCTCCTGCTGGGTTGCGTTGGATTTCCATCCTGCATGAAGCCAAGGACTCTCTTGGCCCCCACCTCTGGGTCCTCAGACCCAGCCCGCCTGCATCACTAGTAAGTGGTTCTATACTCTGAAAATGTATATGTTAATAACACTGAATAAAAAATATATAGTCATGTTCATAACACATAGTTTAAAGCAAAAGATGAGAGTTTTTGCCATCAAAAAATTTTTTAAAAGTAAAAGCCATTCAAAAATGTTTCACTAAAGCATTAGGTAGTTGAATAAATTCTGAGTGGTGACCAGGCTTAGTTTCTGGTCTTGGCCCATCTATGAACGTGTTTGTTTCACACCAGGTAAGATACGACCTCTGTACGGCTCCATTTTCTAAACTCTGCTTCTGGATTTTAACACTTGAAAGTGACATCATGCAAAATGCTCCCATCCTTCAAACATGTACTTTTATTACACTTTTAAAAATTAAATGAGGAAAGAGAAGGTTGGGCACTGGCTGGAATTGTGAGTAATGATACTTGAGCTACAAGGATGCTCTGTTGCCTTGACAGCAGTGGGCACAGGCTCTGTGTCACTCTCTGACTCTGGGAACAGAATTGTACTGACTGCTCATTACCCTCTTCTGCTGTGCCCGATGGCCTGGGATGGGTCTGGGTGACCCCCACAGGCTCCCGGAGACACACAGACCAGGACTTTCCCTTCTTTGCCACCAATCTCAGCTGCTCGGCAAGCTTTTGTTGATCTAGGTCACCAAGAGGTGACAAGTGTACTTTAACTCTGTTCCTGGCCCTCAGTTCTGTACTATGGAAACAATTAACACCCCCATGGAGCTGAGGGTCCCCAAACAAGGTCAAGAAAGAGCAGACGGTTTTTGCCGAGACAGCCTGATTCTGTCGTGCTGTGACGGCGAGAACCCGGCCTTGACATTGGATGACCTGTGAACAGTCAGTCACGGCTGTGCCCACATCCTTTATGGAACTGCAGGGTCTCGTGTGGAAACACCCATCTCTCATAGGACCACCATGGGAAGCACGTTGTGGCCCTCAAGAGAGATCCCAAACACATCTCAGTGACGATAGTGCCTATCAGGTTTCCCTGGGGAAGGTAATTTCTTCCCTGGGATCTAGCGCTAAAGACAAACCAAGAAAAATCAGACTAGAAAGCTGTTTGAGAAGATGCTCATCAGGATCTGGGTCACCTGGGAAAATGAGCTTTTCACCGGCAAAAACTTCCTCCCTGAGGAAGGTGCCACAGAGGGTGCCACGGGACAGCCACGGGGAGGGGAAGGGAGCTTCCTGGCCTCCGGGGGCTCACCCAGGGTGGGGCGGGGCCACTCTTAGAAGCCACAGGACTTACCAGGTAGCGTTCCTCCTGCCTCATGCTGGGGGTGCGGATCATGTGATTCTGTTCCCCTCTCCAGTCTCCAAATCGGCGGAAAAAATAGTTAGATAAAAACCGGTTGACAGGGTCTCTAATGATGTTGATGTAGACAGGCTGGTCTCCTCCAAACCTAACACACGCACACAAACATGGAGCTGGTTACGACCCGTCACTTCTGGAGGAAAACAAAGCCCAAGTAGATACTGTTTCCCCTCTAGCTGATATATTATCATTAGAGGACCCAGTCTAAATACCAGTGAACAATAATCAGCAAGCAGCAGCTTCTGAGTGCCACGTTATTATGTGCGGGAGCCGTCTGTGCAGGGACCCGCTGGGGCCGAGAGGGCTGTTCCCGGCCAGCACCACGCAAACGATTGGATTTGTCAGCAGGGAGGTGTAGACATGGTCTCGTTTTCTCACTAGGCTGTGGGTTCCTGGGGGCGAGGGCACGTGGTGGTGGGTTTTGCATCCCCAGGGTCCGGGACGGACGCCTTGGCAGGTGGCTGTCCCTCACAGAATGTTCAATCAATTCTGATTGCCTCACTGGGTGAGACGGAGCTTATTCCATATTCTAATTCCAGCAGTCTCGGGCAAGGTGCTCTGCGGGAGGTGGGTAATATAGCCAACATTTATGAAACACACTCCACATTTATTAAATCGCCTTCCTGTAAACCTTTTGTGCCCACCTCACAGAAGAATCACAACACTTCCGTGGAGATGAGCTCCGTAACCACCCTCTTTGCACCGGGGGCAGGGAGAGGGTGAGTGATTTGTGGCTGAGGCAGGATATGAACCCAGGCAGGTCTGGCGCCAGAATCTGTGCTCTGAACCATGGAAAGAAGGTTCCAGAGCTGAGAAAAGTAATCATGTAACGGGGTGTTATGAGCACAACAAAAATCTGTATAATTATCCTCAAATGAAGGCAGGTGGTTTTAGATAAAAATAAAACAAGTAGGTGTTTCATTTTAATGCCTTCCATAAAGGTGATGGGACAAATGCTCTGAACGCGGGCAAGGACTTTCTGAGGCAAAATGATCAGGTTGGCTGAGATTTTCTTAAGGCTTCCTCCCCTTTTCCTTTGACCCGCCTGCAAGCAGTGGCCCTGAGAAGCCTGGGAGAACATTCCAGGCTCTGGGCACAGGTCTTGCTCTGGGGACCTCCCGAAAGATCCTGTGACCCCCGTGTCCTTCTGATGAGGACACCTGGACACTGTCAGGGGTCAGAAGGAGCTCAGAGGAAACCAACTGACGTGACCCTGTCCCACCACTCTCTAGCAGGCTGACTCTGTTGCCTTGCAAAACCCAACCCAGAACCACAGTCACGTCCTTCAGCAATTCTGTCCCGTCTTGTGTCAGTCCCTCTCTCCAGCACAGTGCATGCAGGTCTGCCGCTCCCCTCAGCCCACGGTCTCCTGGAGCCGGCAACGATGCCACTTAGCACAGTGTGTGACACACAGTAGGTGCTCAACCAGTGAAGACTAGAATGCCTGGGTATATGCTTCTAAGTTTGCAGGTTTCTGCTGATACCACAGGGCTCTGCTGGAGAGGAAAGTCACCAATCCTTTGTTGTATATTCAGTCATATAATGTCCTCAGTGCATTTGCATTTTTATTAAAAATTTTTTTTAACATTTATTCATTTTTGAGGGACAGAGAGAGACAGAGCATAAGCAGGAGAGGGACACAGAGAGAGGGAGACAGAATCCAAAGCAGGCTCCAGGTCCTGAGCTATTAGCACACAGCCCGATGCAGGGCTTGAATTCATGAGTGGTGAGATCATGACCTCGCCAAAGTCGTATGCTTAACCAACTGAGCCACCGAGGTACCCCGACCTATCTACATTTTTAAAGAGAATCTTCAGAGAGAAGAATCCAAAGTTACAAAAAGAAATGACTCTCCAGTGGTGAAATTTCAGGCACCAGGATGTGTGAATGATATTCTGGATTCCTTGACCTCTCCACATTGGAAAGTTGAGTAGGGTTAGCTGTGCCAATATGAATCTTGGCAGCGCCCAGATGTACACAAGGTGACCTTCATGTAGCTGGAGGAGCATGGGAACCAACTCGTCTTGTAAGTCAGCTGTGCCAAACCAGCTAACGGCTATCATCCTGGAGGTATTTTCCTCTTTTTAATTAAATTGAGTTTCATATCTACAATAAGCAGCAAATAAAGTAATAAAGCTATGGATTAGGAAGACAAAGCATGCATACCAGATGTGAATGCAGTGAGGCCCTCAGCAATTACATCATGCTTAAAAAAAAAACCCTCAACTGTAATCTATCTTCGTGATAGAATGACTATTACTGCTAGTTAGCAGAGCTGCCTAATCATATGAAGCAAAGCACAGTTCTCCCTTGTGAGATGGCTCTCAGTCTGGCCACAGCTATCTTCCGCCAAAGGCTGTAGATTGACAAGTCTTCTTGAACATGGGTGACTTGCTCCTAGTTGCACACCGTAGCCCAATGAGAGATTTCCAGAATAGTTTTCCAAAATACAAGTTTAGATGGCTTAGGAATTTATGGTCAAGTATTGGATAATATAATAGCTATTCTCTCGAAATGTCTAACTGTAGAGAGATGTCTGATGTAGATCTCCCCCATTCCAGAAATCAACAGTAATAATGGTTTCAGGCTGCCAGCATTGGGCCTTTTTCTAGGACAGAGCTCCCTCCTAAACTGGTAAAACTGGGGTGGCATGTCAGTTACACCAAAGAGGCCAGAAACCACCCATGCCTCCCAGGAAAACAAGTTTCCCCCCTCATCTCATCATCTCTCAAGGTCAATTTCTCCTCCTCCTCCTGCAATTTTTGCTTCTAATCTGAATTCCTGGTCACCCTTAGAAGGTCTCCCAGTCTCCCGAGTGTAGTGCTGCTGATCTGTGCCTAAGAAAAGGCTTTGCAAGCCCACCCAATCTCAGGCCACACAACACTCTGCCTTACGTTTTCAACCCTGAAGAGAAGACTTCCAGAGCCTCCCGGTGAAGTCCATTCTATCGGCCAACCTGACAGCTGAGGAATCTCTGGTACCCCCAGCCAAAATTCCCCATCTTCCTTTATGTGCTCTTCCTTTTGTTGATCTGCTCTACATAAAGAATTAGCTTCTCTTCATGTTTGTGTCTGGTGGGTTTTGTTGGTTTGTTTGTTTTGTTTTGTTTTTTTTACAACTTTTAGCCTTTTCAGCTTCGATTTTAATTCCCATAAATTCTTTTGTGCGTATTTCTTCTTGAAAACTCCTTTGGCAGCTGTCCTTCGGACTTATCCCCTTTTATTTTTTCATCTGTACTACTCATTTGGTCTCTATGAAGCTCTAAAAAACTGTGTTGACCAAACTGGGGATAGGTTCTGGTTGTGCGTACGTCCTAGGACAGAGGAGGCGGGCCATATTTTGTTTTTCACTTAACAACACACTCCCTTGACCTTTGGTCACCACAACAGCTACTGCACATGTGAAGAAGCTCTCTTTTAAGTCATCCTAAAGGTGTTTCCTAAGCCAAATCCAGAGGCATTTCCAATTTCTTTGACTTCTGTTCAGACACTGTCGTTACCAACTCTTTAATCACCCAGAAGCCTCCTTCTGACCCTCTGCAAATTTACCATATTCTTTTCATTTCTGTGTTTGATGAGAAGATGAAGATCCAAGGCAGGATGTAATTCTCGAGGAATGGTAACTGCATGGTTCTCACTTTTTTCCACACTGTCCTAAATATTTCATTCAGAGGATGTGCTTCCATGTCTGCCCCACACTGCTGCCTTAATCCATCAACCCACAGCAGCAGCTGCCTCTCCAACAGCTACCAGAGCAGGTGGGTAGGAATTTTAGGCCTCCTTTCACCAACTTGCTGATGATATTCTGCCTAGAATATTACCACACGTAGTAAACAGTAAGACTTACGACCCCAATTGTTCTGGGGAATTCAGATTGTTTTGGCCTCCCATTATGATAGAGTTTTCTAGGGCTAGGGACACCTTTTGAAAGTATGTCTTCTTTTTAAAATTATGGTAAAATATACAAAACGTAGAGATTTTAAGTGTATAGCCATCCCCAGAACTTTCTCATCATCCCAAACCCAAGCTCTGCATAACCCTCCTCTCGGCCCCTGGCAATTTCCATTCCACTGAAAGTATATCTTCTTTTCACCTCTGGCCTAAAAGTGGGGGTTTTCCCTTGTGCTGTTACCTACATTCAAAGATGATAAGTACCCTGTTGCTAGAAGCCTGGCTTTGATCCCTGGGGAGGAGACCCTCTGAAGTGACAGAAAGGCCATCATGGAAAAGGCTGTGATTGTTTGGGGGGCAAAGTGGGGAGCTGCCTCCAAGAGGAGGAAGTGAGGGATGCTTATTTACTGGTCCTCTGCTGGAACGGGGCCCAAGTGCCACCCTCTTTCCTCACAACCTGAGGCAGTGGGCACTCTGGTCCTCGGCCGCCCAGGAGAGGACCTCACTTCACAAAACACGAGCAGAAAAGACTGAGCCGCCTCCGCTCTGTGGTGCGTACTGATGGAAGAGAGGTGGACGCGTCCGCTGAGGGGAACATGGAGACAAATGTGGGCAAAGGGGGGGCGGCCGGGACACTAGAGGTAGGGCTCCTGCTTGGAGACACGGTGACTCCACAAGAGGGAAGGTGGTTCGTAGCATGCAGTGAGGCGGGCTCAGGCACAGTCCAGAGGACATGAATCTCCACCGGGCCAACAAAGCACGCAGGCTTATGTGTCCCCTGAGTAGCGGCGTCCACTCAGGGAGAGAGGAAAGTGAGAAGAGGGTGCCATTTTCCCAGGATTCATCGAGCAGGGTTTAAACAGGACGAAATCAAGCTTCAAGAGGGAAAGAAAGTGTTCCTTCCACAGCTGCTGATCTCAATTGTTATCTGGGCTTCCTCTTCAAAGGTGGAGATTTCTGTCACCATTACAAAAGATTTGCCAGGCACGGCATGAAAGTGGATGAGAGTGAAAACAAAGTCAACATTTAGACATCAGATGTGGAAACCCGGCTGAATTATGGAATTAGTAAGATCTGACTTGTTTGGTTAAATAATGCCGTCAGAGGGCAGCCTTTGTTCATGCCAGTAATGAAGACTTCACTTTTAGGGAAGAGAGAGAGTGTCCCCAAAGCCTCGCCTCCAACATCACACCCTGCC